TTGGAGTGCGGTGTGAGACTCCAAGGAGTGTGAGCAAACATCTGTATTTGAGAACATTACTGTTGCTATGACTACCTATATATAAATATATATTTGTTAGTATAGTGTTGTAAAACTGTATGATGTTCTCTGTCTTCATTCTCTCTCTCTATCACTCTTAATTACATTAAGTGTTATTCTCTCCGTCTCTGTCCTTCCCTTTGTTTGTAAGCTCAGCCGTTTTCTGGCAGGTGGCCGCCCACCCTGATCCTGTTAGAGAAATGTTATTCTTGCTGCTGTCACCAAGTGCCTGCCAAAAGCAGATTTACTGGATATCTTTAAATATTATTACAAACGCCTGCTTTACGGTGCACTGAGATAACTGCTGTTGTGATCTTGGCACTATATTAATGCACTTGACTTGAATTACTCTCTTTTCAGATGCAAGCTTTTGAATAACAGTTAGTGTAGCTAAGTGAGAAATATTCTCGTAAAAGAAAAACTACGGCCATTACAAATATTAAATAAAAACATGAGAAGCACGAAATGCTTTCTAATTCCTGTACAGTCATTGAAAAAAAACAGTACACCTTCACGTCAAAAATTGAAAGAGGGAAAATAATGGAGTATTGAAATGAGCAATGAAATGAACTAGCCTGTAAATTCTTTAACAATCCTTAATCTATTTTTGAAAGCAGTTGCCTTTGTTGACTTTCACATTTGTCATACATGTTTCTTTGATCCAGCTTTCAGAACTCAAAGTGGACATATGAATCTCAGACAGACGTAGAAAACATAATTTGACAGAATGACAGTTATGAATTGGTAGTTTAGAAAGGAAATGATTCCATAATTATTGTAATTATGCTTCTATAAAGCCAAGTCCATGCCAGCTGCGTCGCTGTGGAGAACAGAATATGAGCTAATGTATGATTTCTATCACGTAAAAAGCTCAGAGAGTCCTGCTGTTGTTTTCAAATGTTAGCTGAGGTTCAGATTGTGGCAGTATTTAGGCCATACAGTTTTTTTTTAATCTCCCACGGGACGACTGTTGTTATCTCCAGTTTAACTACCATCAGAACACCCTGAAGCTACATTCCTAACATACACCTGCTCCTGCTGCATTTTCTCAGATGTTGAATATACACTGCAACATCCCCAGTGAATTACAACACGCACCAAAAGTGAATTAGTTAGAAGCTGCTTTGTGGAACAAAAAAAAAAACCTATATTTAGGACCAGAATCTGTCATCCTCATCTGAAAAGTATTCTGCTTCAGCAGGCAAAACACCGCAGCAGTCAAACCGCCTCTGAAGAAGTGAAGATGGGGAGAAGAATCAGCTCTTTGTTTTATAGAAATAAACGAGTTATAAACTGAAGTTTGAGAGAGGAAAGTTGGCGAACAGCTACATTTCTCTGACTGTAACGCCACTTGAATCCATTATAAAAAGGCAGGCGTATAAAGAGAGGAGTAATGTGAAGGTCTAGTTTCATGGAGGTTAAGCTCGCACATCATAAAGATCAATACATGTGGATCATCTTCAAAGAAGAAAAGATTCAGACAGGCTTTTGCACTCCACACATTTTCAACCAGTTCTTTTTATAACAACTTCTGTTTGAGCCCATGCTGTGATACGATGTATTGATATTTGATCTATATATTTATTCTTAAAACGTGTTCACCTATCTATGCATTCTATCTGTTTCTTCTTCTTCTTTTCATACAGACAATGTTAATGACTGCTAAAGACTTGAAACAAACAAAGATTAAGGCGAGCAATCCTTTCAGAATAAAAACAACCTTCTTGACATAACAAAAGAAAAACTATTCCTGATCGACAAACACGGGAAGATGTACGTGCATGTATGGGTGTGTAATGTGTGTGATATTTCCTGCCTTATTGCAGTTAAACTCAAAGCACAGACTCACTGGCCAGTACACTTCCCATAATTCCCCTAAGTGCTTGAATGTTGTCTTGTTTGTCATCTTGTTTTTGTTTTTTTGTTCTTGTGAAGCCAAAGACTATTTTCCACATTGTGGACAAATCAAGTTCTATTCTGTTCTAATGGCATTGTGCTTATTAGTACTGTGGCATTAGTACTATATGTACTGTAGTATCTAGACAAAGACCTCTCTGCTATGGTTTCTTCTCAACATCATTCATTTGAATGGAGTGCAATGAGCTGATAGTGAAGTTCAGGGATGTATGTCCAAAACAAACCCATTGGGCTTAAAAATCTAGTTGAATAATTGAACCAATTAGCCAAATCTAAGACGTGTTTTTGTGACTGCTTTGGGCTGATTCTTTATGAATTAGGACGTTTAAATGTTTATCTACCCGGTGGACAACTGTAGGGACTTTTTGTTGTTGTTGATTTTGGATGACCTTGGCAGACAAATCAATATGTTGTACCTCCTTGCTGATCTTGGTCTGTTCATGCCACATTAGTAATTTCTGATACATTTAATTCAGCTTTATTTTAAGTGTAAAATGTTCCATGTTTTTGGCAGACGATTGTTAATCGTCTCGTCTGACAACTGACATCTATTGAAAATCACCATAAGGAATGAATCAATCTTATTCCTGGGGGGTTTTATCTGCTTCTGCTGGTCATGAAGATCCATTTGGAGTAATTTCAGACGGAAAAAGATGAACTTTTAGTCTAGTTTATATCAATAGTGTACATTCTTGACATTATCCAAATGAAATTGAAACAGAATCAGAGGAGAGCTGAAGTTTGAAGGACAAGAACTGGTCACAGCATATACCAAGATGTGTCATTAATGAGTAATGTGACCTTAATGTGACATGTCACATCCTGTTAATTGTGGCTTGAGTACGCTGGGGAGCAGAAACTAAGCTAAGTGCAATAAACTCATGGCAATAACTTTAGAGCAAATATAGAATGTGACTCAATCATTACTGGGGAGGGGACATTTTAAAAATTCATTGGTCAAGAGATTCAGAGTAAGTTCATTAAACTCTGATGTTGTTACCGATCAATCATTGGAATGTATAAGAAATGGATGACACTGTAAAGATAACGTATGCCTGCCAAAACGCTACTAGACTTTGAAATGACTCAAGTTTGACAACCAACTCTAAAGATACCAGTTTACAAGTGCAAAGACTGCGAACTGTGCAGGGTCAATGTCTGCTGCGTTCTGTCTGGTGCATGTTCAGACTGCTCACATCATGCACTTCACTATTTGCAATCGCCGAGTCTAAAATGAATTGTCAGTTAATTGACACATAATCTGGAAATTCCTGATTTTATGAACAGAATCTCAACTACATCTTTATCCTGGAGTAAAGGGCAAAGAGTCTGACTGTATGTGATGTATGAAAAGAAAAAGGGAAAAGGACGGCTTTGGCACTGGATCTCGCTAAAACAGGAGCTTCTTATTGGTCATTGCTCCAAGTGGCTTTATTGAGTTCTGGGGATACAGCCCACAGACACTGAGACATAATAAAGATATGCTACAAAAGTTTTTAAATATTGGAACTCATATTCTCACGATCCCAATGTTGGATTTCTGATCTGACACATGGCATGTTTTTTCTCATCCATAAGATCACTTCTAATGCTCTCCATGATTAGACTGGTGGTCTTAACTCTCAGATGCCAGGCTGTAGATGTGCATATGATGTGTTGGGTGTAAGCACTCTGCTGGTGTTACAGAAGTGATATGAACATGTCACGTCAGAATGGCTTTAGATCAAATCGCTCTGTGGGCGACCGGCTTCGCCTGCGGGCTTAGCTTGCCTGCCACTCCCAGGAATAGTTAACATGCTATGTGATCCTGCCGGCATAATGGCTTCACAATTTCTAGAACAACAACGGCTTCTCCCCTGGTGACACCATCATGGGAACTACCTTTCATTTCTCTCACCAAACTTGACTGGAAGTTCCGAGAAGACGCTGAAATGTGAGAAACGCCTTTGGGTAACTGACAAAAAAAAGCCTGTCCTTCCACAGATTTATCAATCAACCAACAGGGTTTATTTTTTTTAAAGAGATAATCTGTATTTTCTTAACTTGACGTAGCATGTGCTGCCAATTTTTGTATCAACAAAAAAAGACCCTAAAAGAAGGATTAGCTGGAAGATTTAGAGTGAAAATCCTAAACAAGGCTCATCACCGTCTGAGCAATCAAGAAGAAATGATGCATTTAGAAATGCTCTGTTCAAACTTGATATATAACAACCTAATCATGACTGATGTAAATAATTGGATGCTAACTCCCTCTGGCTCGGTGCCTGGGATGACTGATTTAGTTCAGCTCCAAACCAGCAGCGGCCCTCTGATCTTTCATTACAAGACGCACGTTGACGTCAAACCCTGCCGCTACAGTCACAAGGCTCGACATTTCATAAACATATGGAGTGTTTCCATAACTGTCAGCGCAATTAAAGAACACTGGCCTTGCCTAAAAGTCACAGACGAATGATTTATGAACACCTGAAGGGCTGGTTGTTTGAAAAGAAATAGGTTTGACAACGATTATAAATATTTATTTTTTACATAATGTCTGTTTTTGTGAAGCCTCATCTGATACAGAAGTAAATCTATGACGGCTTAAACAGGTTACCCTTACCTACAGATGACAACAATTACAGATGTGCTGCAAAACACAATGTGCCTCATACAACATCTGCCTTGGGTTTAGGTCATTTCTTTGAAAGACAGTAAGACACAGAAACAGAGAATTAATTTATGATCCTCTGTAGAAGGTAGAGCCACAACCCTTACGCTAAAATCCACCTTTATTTTTAAATTCTCAAATTAAAAACTACAGAACAGTTCCAGACTTATTTTGAGCTTGTCCCAAACTTCAAGGACTCTGGCGCTGTGTTTGTAATAGTATATATTTTCTCTCACTGTCTATATAAATACTATTTGTGTGTTATGATTTTGCTCCTGCAGATAAAAAGGCATGTAAGCATACAGTCAAAATTAAAGAAAGAAAGAAAAGTAAACAAACAGACATACAAACAAACCGTGGGTCATGTGCTCACCCTGGCGAAGTGCTCGGGGTCTCTCAGGAAGACGGTCCTCTCCTTAGCAATGCTGTTGCTATGGTAGAACTCCACGAGCTCGTTCAGAGAGGAGAAGAGCTCGTCCCACACGTAGTACTGACCGCAGCGATCCTGCAGCACCTTAAAATGCTGAACGTGGTCCCCATAACTGCAAAATGAACAGAGGCAGAACACATTTTCTTTATTCATCTCATTTCATGAGGTTTTAAGGCTGCCAACAGATGAAGAAACACTTTCACATCATAGGATACGAACAGATAGAAGGACATAATAAGGTCCTTCATGAGTGCTGTCATACAGAGTTTGTGTCTTCACATCACAATTTGCCTTTTTGTGAAGTAGCTTTGGGTTGAGACCAACAGTCTTGGCCTTTACTCCTCTGAGACGGCCTTTTAACTCAACAGCTGTCAGCTGTTGGGGCTGGCATGCATTCAGTGCCGCCTGCTTCATTTGTCTCTTTAAAGAGTCTCCACTTGTTTCATTTGATTTTTACATGTTAATAAAATGATTTCTCAAACATATAAATGAGAATATTTTCTTAAAAGGTTAAAGAAAATAAAGCAGACAAAGGAATACAAGAGCAGGCAAAAGAGCTGTGAAGAGAGAATCACGCTTGTGCAAAAAGTACAACATTTTAATATGATATTGGAGGGGGCGCAGGTGGCTTAGCGGTTAGGTAACCGGAAGGTAAAAGTCCAAGCAGGCCAGCCCGGGTTCAAGTCGGAGCTGTGTCTCCTTTCCTTCATGTCATTCCCTTCTCTCCTCTTCTATACTCTGTCCTGTCAAGTAAAGGCAAAAAGCTCCCCCCACCCCCCAAAAAAAAAAAGAAGATTTTGGAGGGAAAAACAAGAGGATTCTTTTTCAGTAGTATATTGTTCTTAAAATAGCTCGACATTACATTTGCATGGGCTGCTTTATGGGTTGGGGGGATTGTATGCAAGGTACCGGTAAATGTCAAATAATGTTATACAAATTAGTCTTACTTAAAAAAACATAGTTCTAGATTTTGTATTGCAATTCATAAAAATAAGTACACATGCTTTATCTGTGACAGTATTAGATCTCACATTTTGATGAAAACACTGTCAGAACACTGAAGCATTCAAATAATCGAGTGTAGCTGAGAAATCACAAGATCCAGCCGATGGCACGAACGATTAATAGCCACAGTGTTGGAGTGCCTGCCATGTTATGACGATTCAACGAGTTCGGGGGCCTGTATTTGTTGGCGACCATACCTGCTCCTCTTGTCCAGCAGCTCTGTGCTTGTTGCTAAGAGACTTGCCAGCTTTATCTTTAGAAACCTGGACATCTCACCGTGATCGTACGGTTATATAACTGCGTGTAATATGCAGTGGAAATCAATCCGACTCCCCCACGTTTCTTAACACAGAGAAGTAGTATTAGGCATATTTTGATAACTGGTAGAATTGTGACACTACTATAACGTCCTTTCTGGAGCGTAAAATCAATTTATACAAAATAGAATTTGTGCTATAACCTAACAAAACTCCTTTGTACTCAGACTGGCACTGCTCCAACCTCAGAAGGTAAATGAGCATCAGCTTGTTCCAGCCAGAGTTTTTTTTTTCTTCTTCTTTTTTTTTTTTTCAGACGCAGAGCTCTCTGAACAAGCCGGACTGACTCCCTGATGACAGGATGGCATTCAGCTACACATCCACTGCTCCACCCTGCCCTTGTTACTCTGCAGCCTCTGTTTCACCCTGCGTGTCCTCATTTCTCCCTCCTCACGCTGAATGAACTCCCAAATGTGTGTTTTTATGTATGATGAAAGTGTATTCAACAACAGAGCATGCTTTAAGATGAAATCGAGATGATAATGTTACCTTTTTGACTTCATTTGAGAGATTGGCACTGTACCGGTCTTTGAAGTTTTTTAACATTTAATGATTTCTTACTATCGTTTTTTTTTTTTGTTTGTTTGTTTATCATCTGACTTCCAGCCTTTCTTTGCAAACCACAACCTCTGCTTGCCCTTTACCTTAGCGCTTGATTAAAGCCTCTCCCTCTTTGGACCCACTCACCCAAATAAAAAAATAAAATAAAAAATCCATGAATGTTCCCCATCAACCCCCAAGCACGTCCCTAGTGGTCTGATGCCATTTGCTGCGCCCTACTGGTGGGGTGAATATACTGCGACCTACTGTGCAGCTGTTTGAGTTAGAAAGAGCTGATAACCAGAATGACTAAAGTCCTCATTAAGAAGTGACGCTGATGCAAAAAAAAAAAGGGGAAAAGTTTGATCCTGTGGAAAGTGAATTCAGAGGTGGAGGGTTAAAGCGGGGGAGGTCTACAGGGCAAGTACTAGAATGAAACACATCATGTACTTAGAGGAACTTTTTTAGTTCCAATTTGGGTTGATTATTTTAATTTTAATTAATAATCCCCATCCCCAGGCTGTTTATTTACATTTTTATTTTACTTATGTATCTGTATTAACTTACTTTTTCGTTTTTGGTGTGTTTTGGGGTATATTTTGAAATACAAATCCATGCCAAGTAAAGCTTTAAATGACCCATTATCATAAATCTAACATCTTGATCAAGAGTAAAGTTTGGTCTTTTTCCATATCCATTTCATCCAGTGGTATACAAACAGCATGCAGCCACACACAAAAACTCTGATGTTAATATTTGTTGTTTTTCCCAACACATCTCTTCAACATGATTTGAGATGTCAGAGAAAAGTTGATGTGAAATATAACATCTTGAATTTCTTTCAAATCATTTCCATGCGTCATGTCAGCAGAGGCGCCTCCAGCTGTGACAGTCAGAACAATTCAAAACCAAAAAATATCTCGGCCTCGTCTTTATACAGTTTACCAGCATCTCTTTAAATATTTATGGAGCAACACTTAAACCATAACGTCACTTCTTCACTCTCAATTTGTCCTCCGGTGCAAAACTCTGCTCCCTCGTCTGAAACAGCAGGACAGTCACACACAGACAAAACAAACTTTGAAAACCAAATGTATTTGCGCAATCCATTTTTCTTTCGTTTTTAAACGACAAGAAAAGTACCAAAATAAGGTTATAATGAAACACCCAGAACTGATGCTGCCACCTCTTCTGCATCACACTGAACACTGTTACATGACAATCCAAAAGATGGCCCCCAAACAGACGTGTCTGTACCAGTTGCTGAAGTTTTCTGACAAAAAAAACCAACTAAACTTCCTTTATGAACAGCAGGGGACTCAATTAATTACGTACTAAAAGGTGCACAAAACAACTATTAAAACAACGTAAGCAATGGCTGGAGTTTAATACTATACGATCAAGCAGATTCATCAAACTCTTTTGAAAAGAGCAATACCAAACGCCAGCTAGCTAGCAGCTGACTGCAAGCTATAAGCACACTGTAGCCCGAGGCAAACGACACAACACATTGGAGAAAGAGCTCATTTTCTGCCAGAGACTGACCATATTACCGCAGCCTGTTCAGACGCTTCTCTTCTTCCCTGTCCGCCTTACAATCTTCAATATGTGGCAACACAATGTGTCTCAATCCCAGCATTAGCAATTAGCGTCCTCAATGCTGGAATTAGCAGCCTTTGATTGTCCTGAAGGAGATCATCCTCCTTCCAAAGTAACGCTTATAATCAGCCAAATAGCACAGACTTATTATATAGAACTTGTAATAACTCCTAGACTAAAAAAATGTATGTTAATGCCATCGCACACATTTAATAACTCTATAACATCCTAATCTAATTGCATTTGTTTTTCCTTTTTTATACACTGGCAGCAAAGGTTAAAGGCCCTTGTCAGAGGTATGCGAGAGCAAAAACAGAGATTCAAAGACGAAGAGAAGACGAAAGAGCAGACGCAAAGTTGCAGCTCGAACACTACTGACGTCTTGTCAACATTTCTTTTGAAACCCAGAGACATAAGTGTGCATAATACAGACAACATCTGCACACGCACGCGCACGCGCACGCGCACGCACACACGCACACGCACGCACACGCACGCACGCACACGCACGCACACGCACGCACACAATCAAACAAACAAACAAACAAAGCATGCTCTCCAAGTGCCCTCTCATCTCCTTGATCTGGTGTAATTAAGGCCCAAAGCAAAAGAGAGAGATTATTTTCTTTTTCAAGGTAAAAGGAAACCAGAGAGAGAGAGGGGGCGAGTGAGATTACGAGAGACTGAGTGAGAAAGATTGAAATAGCAAATAAATAAAGAGAATGCAGAGGGAGAGAGAGAGAGAGAGAGAGAGATACTGTAGATGAGGAGGGGAGTTATTTTTAGAACTTTTACACCGCGCCAGCACAATTCAAGCAGCGTGAAGGTCATCCGTCCATCTTTCTCTCGACTTTCTCCATCAATCTATTCTCACTTTCTTTTCCTATCCTTCTCTCATCCTGCCAACTCCAACCCCCCCCCTCCCCCCCTTTCTCTAATCTGCTGCTACAAACTGCTGCAGATGTCTGGATCACTTCACGCAGCCACACGACACCTCGAGTTGTCAATTGAACTCAGTAGCTGTGTGCGTGTCACAGAGTTATCAGAATGTGTGTCAGCCCATGTGCATGCTGCAAATAACAGAATACATCAGACGTAACACACATGCCGACAAGCTGTGTGTGTCGGTGTGTCGGTGTCGGTGTGTTCGAATGCTCTTATGGGTTGTCTCTCATGAGTCACAGGCTGCAGCGTAGTGGCCATGAGAGAGTGGATGTGTGTGATTTTGCCTCAGCCAAGCATGACAGGGAGTGGGTAAGTGAGGGAGAGGTTCAGCTCCTCCTGCAGCATCAATCCAGCAGCTCCATCACCAAGAAATTTAAAGTGTTTAAGTTTGTGTGTTGAGAATGATAAAAGATGTTTGGAGGCAATTTGTTCAAAGTTTTGAAAGTTTCTTTCAGACAGAAAAAAATATGGGTATGAGAGACGGTCTAATCGAGTTTCTTTGCAAGGCTGTTATCATAAAGAAAACAACTATTTAGGCTTTAACAAATACAATCGGACAAAAGCATAAATTCGACTTTTGCTTCACCTTCCTCAGTACTTGCCATCTTCAACTCTAATACTTAAACTTTTTTCACACGTTTAATCCACAAGATGAATAGAGCGGTTATGATTTCATGAGGTGAAGCATATATCCGCATATTTTAAC